AGCATCTGTAATTTAGATAAATGACAGCTCGCTGCAGGAACAGCCTCAGCATTCAGGTCTTGTTCTTCAGAAAGAGCCTGCACACAGTTTGGCTCATTTAGATTCAAATGCCACAAAACAGCCCAGCTCCTGGATGAAAGATCACATCTTTATGCAGGAAGGCTTTCTTGGCAAGCTCAGGGGAGTCTGTCGACCAAGAACAAGGAGCCAAGGTATGGCTGTTTATTCAGGTACCACATCTGTGCCACCAACTCGGAGATGTGACACCTCTTCAGACAGAACTGTTCCCAAAGCCTTCCCTGATGGTGAGGCCTCCAGATGAAAAAATACCATCAGGAACCAAGGAACAGGGGAGCCAAACTGCTGCATTCAGCCTGAAGAGCTGGAACTGAAGAACTCTCCTTCCAGCTGCCATTAGCTTGGGTGCTGGAAAACAGACCCTCCAAGGTGGGACAGGCAGGACACAATGGCCTGGTCTGGGCTTTTACTCCTTCATTTCTTGGTGTTTTCCTCAGGAAGTCAGGGCACTGGTGTGGGAGTGCTGCTGGAGGGGAAGAGGTGGCTGCCAGGCTGGAGTGCCTGGGTGATGGATTTGTGGGCTAGGCTGCTCCCTGTAGTTGCACAATAAGTAAACAAGGGAGGTGAAGCTGAAAGCCCTGGGGATTAATGACCCAGCAGGTATTTTCACTGCTCATGCCATGGAAATCAACCTGTAATTGCAGCTTCAAGTGGTCACACATAAAAAGCACGGAGTGAAGAGTTACACATTAGGAAATGCAAACACTGTGATAAGCTGTGAAGCTTCAGCTCAGTTCTCTTAGCATATGTATGATCCCTAACTACCTTCTCCATCCCTTCCTTCCCATAAATCCCCACCCTCACCCAGTGAATTTGGTGGGACAACATTCCCTGAGCACAGAACTTTCATTACAGTCCTTTTCCTTAACCTGGTAGTCAGTGTGGAGTTCTGAGCCCAGCCAATCCTGTCAGCCCTGCTCATTTGACAGCACCCTTTCTAAGGATCCACGGGGCTCTCCAGAGCTCTCACACTGCCCCACATGTCAAGGGCCAACCGTGGATTTCTAAAAGGCTGGAGAACTAAGAGTTCAGGGCATCAGAATGACCCTTCTAGTTTTGGTACCCAGAACAAATGTCCCAAATCCAGTTTTTCAAATGCTCCCAATTTTTATGGGATCCTGCTCTGTGTCTGGAAATACAACTCCACTAGCTGGGGGTCTGAGCTGCGGAGATGAGCAGCCAGGCCTGGAGTTGTGTATCAGCACCAAATCTATAACTCTCCACACACCTGGAAAGGTTCCCAGTACCTTCCCAGCCAGGACCACAATCCACAGCCGGGCAGGGACACACCTGGTTCTCCAGGATGGCACTGACCTGACTCACCAGACCACCACCTACATACAACTTCTTCCCAGATAAAACCATCTCACCCAGTGCTTCTACAAATACCAGGTAATTTAAGATCTTATTGGGCCACCTGGAAATTCTGGATTTCTTCAGGTGTCTGAGGCTACCGCAGCCTCTGCTTAAAATGATCTCAGCCATTACCTGTGGGGATGAATTACTGATGTCAGCGCAATCACAGCAACACTCCAGAGATCAGACAGCTTGTTGGGCACCTGAATATCCAATCATCATTCCTCCCACAAACAACTTAATCTTTATTTATATTAGTTTATTGCCTCAATTGCACAGCACAGACAAACCTCTTTGGGAAGGAGACAAACTCCTGGTGAGCCTTCAGAACAGACCAGCATTCCCAGCTGGAGCAGCAGCTTCATCAGACACAGCCAGGTGCATCAGGGAGCCCAGGTCACCAAGGACTCACATCAGAGCCAAAAGAGTCAATACACAAAATTCCCACAAAATAAATCACAGGATCAGCCAGGTTGGAAAAGCCCTCTGAGATCATCAAGTCCAACCCTCGATCCAACCCCACCTTGTCACCCAGCCCATGGCACTGATGGCACATCCAGGCTCTGCTCAAACACCTCCAGGGACAGAGAATCCATCACTTCCCTGGGCAGCCTGATCACTCTCCATGGAAAAAATTCCTTCCTAATATCCAACCTAAACCTCCCCTGGCAAAGCTCAAGGCTGAGCCCTCTTGTCCTACTGCTGGTTCCTGGAGAAGAGACCGACCCCCACCTGGCTCCCCCTCCTGTCAGGAGTTGCAGAGAGTGCTGAGGTCCCCCCTGAGCCTCCTCCTCTCCAGGCTGAGCCCCCCCAGCTCCCTCAGCATCTCCTCATGGCAATTGTGCTCCAGTCCCTTCCCCAGCCTCGCTGCTCTTCTCTGCCCCTGCTCTAGCCCCTCCATGTCATTCCTGAGCTGAGGGCTCAGAGCTGGACACAGCACTCCAGGGGTGGCCTCACAGGGGCAGCATCACTGCCCTGCTCCTGCTGCCACCCTGCTCCTGACACAATTCCCTCCTTTAAAAAGCCCTAAAGCCAGAGGTAGAGTTGTGCAGATTTATTGGTCCTGAACATCAACCATGTCAGTGAAAATCCCTCACCAACTGCTGCAATCCCTCCCCCCTCTGAAGCTCCCTGGCAGAGCAGCACATGGCACTCAAGCTGAGGGGAAAGAGTCCCTGACACGAACACTTAAGGGAGATCCAAATTTTACACAAGCTCGAGCTACATTAACACCCAAACTGGAAACCCAGCAAGGCTCAACAGGCTCTTGTACCAAAAGTTTTTATACAGATCAAGAGCAGCTGTCCTTCCTTCACCAGGCTGCTTTTCCCTCCCTTTTATTGCTGCAGATCCCTCATTTAGTTGTTGGGTTCCCACATTTGCCCTGAAGCCCCACAGGGCGGGGCTGGGCATCACCTGAACACAGCCCTTCAATCAGGAGCAGGCTCCATGCTGAGGATGACCTTCAGCTGGCTCTGGGCACTAGTTATTTCTCCAACACCTTCAGAAGCAGGCTGTTTTTCTAAACCATTAAAGAAAAAGCCATTAAATTGGTTTTTAAGTCAGTGTGTCTGTAATACAGCACAGGCCACCTGCCCCCCTCAGTGAGGCCCCCCTGCCATGCTTTGTCTGCCACAGCTTTAACTCTTATTTAACTTATCAAAAGGATGTCAGAAGGCTTATACAAGTTCACCTCTAATGTACTCCTTATCCTCTTAGGAGCCACTGAATGAAATGTGAGTTAATGAATAACACAGTAGGAATTATTTCATTATCCCCACGGTGAGAGGGAGCCATCTGATTCTTGGATATGATGTCAGACTTGAGAATCAGCCAGTGGTACTTACTCAGCCTTCCAGTGCTCACTCGACAGCTCCAGCAGTGGTGTTCCCAAGGAAAGGCTGCACTGCCAGAACGTGCAGCAAAGCTGCTCCTCAGCAGCCTTAGGAGGAATTAAAGCAGCAGGAGGGAGCAACTGGAGCCTGTCATTCTGCTCCCACACAAGGGAGAGGGCTTTAGCAGCACACATTTCATGTCCAGGCCTTGCACAGGTATGGAAATTAAAGCAGTGAGAGCATGTCAGCTCTTCACATTTTCCCTCCTGCCTTACATCTACTTTTACATGTCAACCCCACCCCCAAGTTATCACTTGTCTCTGGTACTAAGTCAGCCTGTCTATTAAACTCCATCAAAAACCCAGGACACTTGAAGGGAAATCTGCAGTGAGGTACAGATCCTTCATCAGTCATTGGCAATCCCGTTTTCTGGCATTCAAGGCCCCTTCCCTTCCACTTGGTTAAACTAAGGCTTCTCACTCGAGAACCTGATGCCTCATGACATCAGAAGATGTTCCCAGGAACAACACCCATCTCCTGCCAGCACGGGAGGGCAACCCCAAGGGAGAACAAGTCCTCCTGCAGGTCATCAACACATCTGCCTGCAGTAACAACCAGCTTTAGATTGCCTGAAGAGTTTGTGTGTTTAAAGAACTAATTGTGCCAAGGAGACCAGGGGGCTTAAGAAGGTGTCTAGAGCTGGTATTTCACTGATTTCCTAAGCACCCTCACTGCTATCAAGACAGCTCTGCTGGGCAGTGCCCTTCAGATAGTTTGGCTCTCAGGACACGTGTCCCTTCCTGTCCAGAACACCCTGAACTCCCTTCACATTGTGCAGGCAGGAGCAAGAAAGCAGCAGACATTTGAGCAGCTCACCCCAACCCATCACAGAGCCTGCAGGTATTACCAGGTGTTCCCCTCTAACTACCTGAGTGGTGAGGAATAAACCAGTACACAGGCAACCTAAAAACCTAAGCAAGAGGAAAAACTGGAAAGCCTGGGAGCCCAAAGCTGGGAGATGGCTCTAGTTTTTCATCTGCACGAGAAGTTACTCTCCCTGACATGTTCTATTCAATGTCATACTCAACACAAGCAGATTTCTGTGCATGGACTGCACGAACTGAGGCGTGTTCTCTTTTTAAGGAGTGATTTTCCCACAGCCTGTAGCCTGCACTCTCTCCTGGACAGCCACACAGCACTGGGGCTGTGTGACACGCCAAAAGCAAAGGGTAATTGTGCCACACTCCTTATCATGCTGTAGCAAACACTATCTCCTAGCCCAGCACGTGCTGTTCTGTCATTCTCACATGAGTGTGCACATGTAAGTTGTATTCATAGTCCAGGCCTGGTCTCACAATCACTGCCACGACTGCAGTGTTCCAGTATATTTAGAATGGCTCTGGTAATTTTACAGCTCACTTTAATAGTGCCATTAAGACACCCCAGCCTCCAAACCCACTGCTGTCCTATAAGCATTCATCTTCAGTTCTTCAACCATCACTCAAAATACCAGTATTTAAGACACAATACCCATGACACAACACTCATTAAGATACAATAACCCAAGCCAGCATCTGTAAAATGGATGGAAAATTCAGTAAGATAAACCATGAGACGTTGGCTTTGGAGCAAGTCTGTTGTACCAGAAGCTTCTGAACTGGGAGAGAACAGGATCTCCCTGCACGTGAGGAGCGTGTGTGCGCAGGAATGTCTGAGTCAGTGCCCACTCACCCATGAGCTGATCTGCAGAGCATACAGCAGTGCTTCAGCCTGCACAGCTGGAAATCAGTGCCTAAAAGCAAGCACAATAACACAGAGTGAGGTAAGAAACAAGCTTTGGAGGTGTGATGTCACTTAAGAGGGTAATGGGATCAAACTGGTGAGGTTGGGAGCCCTCGCTCTGGCTTGGGCAGTGATACTGCTTAAGTTGAGCCACGTGCTTCCACTGCCCACTGAGTCACAGCTGTCCTTACACAACACAGCCAGCTTCCTCAGGGCTGTCCCCTGGGCCCTGCCAGGCTGGATCTGCCCTCCTGCTCCAGCTGTGCTGGTTAACCAGCCCTTCATGCCCAGAAAACTGCCAAAGCCATCTGCAGCCAAGAGAGATCCACCTCTCCTGGAGGCATCCTCAGTGCCAGGGCCACGCCAGCTGCACACAAAAACTGCCCCAGACACCTTAAGGAAGATTCACCTCACCAAAAGCCAGATTTTGTCTCTGATATTTTCCCTTTTAAGAAGTCCCACATTCTATCCCTTAGTGGGCAGTTCTTACCTATTTTGAACACCCACTTCAGGAGACAGAAACATTCTTAATTCAACTGTGCGGTCTGGTGGGAGGACAGGAATATCCAACTGCCCTTAACTCTGCAGTTTCCAGCTTAAATACATCCAGACAGACTCACTTGAAGGAAGTAAACAATGTCATCCAGACTGTCTGGGGAAGCAACAGTAATTTAAAACCAGAGCTGCACACTGCAGGTTGGGGTTCAAATGTGAACAGCAAGAGCTCAGACATTCCCTCTATTAACACAAACAGCTTTTATCCTCAACAGCTGCACGATTCTTCCAACCACGATTCTTCCTCACACCCCAAGATTTTTCCTAGCACTAAGTGGCTGCCTAAGTGAGACTCAGTTATAAAGTCATTTTATCACCACTACTATTTTCTCAAAGCTTAAAAATTAAATCAAGGCCTCCACTACTGGAATTTTCATTACCAGGAAGCGGCAGTAATGCTTATTGCATTATGGTTATTGGTTTGTTCTCCCAACACAATAACTCCATCAGTTCAATGCTTTGAGTTAATTATTATTGCCTAACAGAGGTAAATGCAAACAGAAGCCTAAAGAGCATGGAATTAACAGTAGGAAACCAAGCTCAACTATTTCAAGATAAACCAAATACTTCATGATCACCTGCAAGTATCAGGGAAATTCTCACACAGGTCTGTGTATTGGAAATTAAAAACCCTGATGATCAGAGCGTCAGAAAACAGCCACAGAGAAATTACACAAGGAGGTAAAGACCCAAACTTTGTCCTGTATCTGGATACTTGGGATTAGCAGTGAAGAAAAGTTCATTACAACAAAATAACTAGGACTTGGACTGCAGTATTTCCAGAATATTCTGTCAGATTCTCTCAGCAATAAAGCATAAATAAGCACGAACGATTCCCTGGAGAGTCCCCCAAAGCTCCAGGGATTCTGGGGAGCTTCTGATCAAAAGGTACCTCCGGTGATACCTTTCTGTCACTTGAAGGGGGCAGGGAGCCACAGCAGGCAGGAGGTGAGGACGGCAGCAGTGAGCCAGCCCTGGCACTGACCTCTCCACTGAAGGGCCAGCAGTTGCCAGGGAAGTCTGAGTGAGTTCCACTGCCAAGGCTGACCTTGGAACTGCTCGAACAAGCGCCTCCTGTGAGGCTGCTGCTCGGAGATGCTCCCGCGGCAGCCCAGAGCCTGCGAGCCCGGCAGTGAAGTGGCTGCTCCACAACAATGCGCTCCGCTGCGGGAGCGGCTCACCAGCCAGTGAATAGACAATGGAAAGAGCCATTCAAGTGTCAGTCCTCGAGTCCAGCCAGGACAAAGTGCTTTTTGTTTCTGTCTTGGAGATCCTGACGAATCAAAAGTAGATTAAGTGTGCTGGCAGAGCGGCTGCTCCCTCCCAGACGGATACGTGATCCCAGGGAAGGGACCTGCCAGGGCTCTGCAGTCACTCACCCCGGCACACACAGCCCTGCACATGCTCTGCCCTCCCTGGGGCACGCTGGGAGTGAATCCTGCCTTCGAGTAGCACGGTAAACTGACAGGGAATCACTCTGCTCACAGGAAACAACCCCACCAGTAAGAACTGCAGGTCCTTGTGGTATAGGTAAAGAACGTCAAGAAGGACGTTCCGTCTTGTTCGAGCCAGGAGGAATCTCTGTCTGAGCACAGTTACCACTGAAGGCTTTGTTACCTCCAGGGGAGGCTCTGAAATAGATACATTTGTGTTTTCCACAACATCCATCTGGTCTTGCTAAGTTCTCAGCATTATTTTTTAGCAGCTCAGTGACAACAACAGTATCACTGAGTAACTCTCCGGTCTGAAGTTTCAGTTCATTAGTCCTCTCTGCTGGGTTAAAATAAAAACACAACCACCTTAACATCCACAGATCCAAAAGCAGCCCCCAGCTCCATAACCCACAAGGAACAGGCACATGTTATCTGTGGAAAACACATGAGCATTTATCAAGCAACATATCAAATCTTACCACAAATACTGAACAAACCCCAGCGATCCAACTGCTTCAGTTAACAATTAATAAAAGCTCTGAGAAAAAGGAATGCATCTGCTCCCACTTCCTACATAAATCTCAAGCAATACCACAGACACAGAACAGCCTGAGGAGCTGCATTTCTGAGGGATAATCTGAAATGGGCTGGAGCAGATACCCTTTCAGCATTTAGGGCTGCCTGTGCCAGCAGGTCAGCCCAAGATCCCAGTGCCACGAGCAGATGGAGGCACAGGATCCACGGAGCAGCCCTGCTGCTCTGCACCTTTCCCAGGCTCCATCCTCTGCCCAGGGCAACCCCAGCACAGGGACCATTTACCTACAGAAGCACAACAAAGCCCTGCAGAAACACATGTTAAATGCTTTACTTGCAGCAACCCTGGTCTAGAAGGGTTAAAAATCCCCTCCAGAGTATCAGTCTGAACGTGGCACTAAGACTGCCCCTTAAACCTGGAGGATGCAAAGGCTGACACGACACTAACACAGCTAAAGTTGCAGATTTCTACCTCCAATCTGCCTGCAAGGAACGCTGTCACTTGTGACAAGGAGTTAAAGGGCTGGAAGGAAGAGAAAGAACAACATTTGAGTTGTGATGAACTCAACTCACCAGCTCAGTAAGAAGAGCAGCATTTCTGTGAAAGGTTTACACCAAGCTATCTCAAAATACTAAAAACGGATAGAATTGAAGCCTGCTGTTCAACACCAAGCAAATCTGCTGCTTCTCCACTTGAAAATTCAGTGAGGCTTCAAAGTAGGACAAGCCTAACTAGACAAACTAGAAGACTTATTCCTTCCTTCAGAACTGAAGCTTTCAGACCCTTCCATCCAACCTACTCCATCCAGCACTTCATTTTTAAGATATTCCAGCATATGTTATTCACCCAGCCTACTTCAGATGAGATATTAATAAGGACTTTTCCCCATTCCTCCCCAAAAGAAAACCTGTAAAACTGACATCACAGACAATGTAAAACACATCACTTCGAGATAAGGTTGAAATTAAGACACCAATCTCAGAAGTATTTCCAGATTTTCACAGGCAAGAACTCACCTGCAGACCAACTCTAAGTCCTAATTTAACAGTTCCACACTGTAAATAAGCAAGATTGAAGAATGAGGAAGGTGTGGGAAGACAGGCACAGCTGCTTGTTCTCTACAGGTCACATTTACTTCTTTCTGCTAAAGGAAAAACCTCCCTACCCAGTGAGTGACACACACCTTGGTATTTAAATAACTGAGATCTGGAGATGTGGGGCAGAGGTGAACAGGCAGGAGTTAACCCTTCAAACAAATGCAGGTTTTAACTGGATAAATTCCTACCCTATACTTAGAGTTTAAAGGTTACAAAAAGCTCAGTGTTGGAGGAACAGATCAGCACCAGGCAACAAGCTTTTTATAACATGGCAAAGATGCTCTGAATTCCTTGTAGAGGCTGAGCTGTCACTCACCCAGCTTGATCTGTGGATCCCCAGCTCCACAGAAAGGTTCACCATTTCTCTTTCACATTCTAACATGCAATAAAGCTGCCAATATGTCAGTTAACCTCCGAGTTATAATGTTATTAAAAAAATAAGCAAAGTAACCAAGTCTTGATTTTTGAGTGGTCACAGGTGGAGCAGCTCCTCAGGAGGCACCGGACAAGCAGCAGATTCTTCAGACAAGTTTCAAGCCATCAAATTTGTTTCAACATGTCCAAACTCTGGCTAAGTCAAGTCTTTCACCAGCACTCACCGTGAGGTGACCCAGGGAGAGCACAGTGGCACAACCCAGGTGCTGCTGGAACAAGGTGCTGGTTGGGTTTTCTTTGCAGATGTGAAGGATGCACCGAGTTCTTCTGCCACTGCTCATCTTCACTCAGCTGCAAAAGCCCTCTCTGAACTGACCCCAGGGTATTCCTTTACCTCTTGCATTTTAATTAGTTAAAACAAATAGTTAAGGAGATCTTAAGAACGTCAACACCACAAAAAATTCTTCCTCCTAAGTTTTCCCAAGTCAAGCAGGAGGCTTGGAACTCTAGAAAACAATTGCTGCAACACCAGCCTCAAGTTTGCTGTTTATCAACTCATGGAAGCTTCAAAGCTGACCTTTTGCAAGCAGTAAAATCCCAGCTGGCTACACCTGCAACTGCATCACAAATGTGCTTCAGAGCAGCATCTCCAGACTGCTGAAAATCAAATAAACCAGCAATAAAACCACCAAGGCTCACCAACCTACCCGAACAGGCTGCAGCATTCCCTGCACCTGCAGAAGTGGATATCGTGTTCCAAACCCAGCCTGGAAATTCAGAATAGCTCTAGGAATTCCTTAGTTGTCTTGGCAAGAGGCAGTATAAAAACTGGGGAGTTGAAGCACATAAATTAGGTTTTGAGGGTGTTTTGGCATTAAGCCTTTCTTTAAACTGTAAGCTTGATTAGATTCTCCCCAGCCCACCTGCTTACTTCTAATATGGTAAAGAAAAAAACTTTCAGTCCTTTCTCCTCCTTTTCATGATACAAGTCACTTCAGAGCAGCTTCTTTGGCTT